CAAAGAGGGGATCAGCTGGAATAATTAGGAGTAATGGCGTCTAACAAGAGGCATTGAGTAGATTGGGTCGCCCACAAGAGGATTAATGAGATAGATATATCTGTTACAACCATAGTCAATATATTCCTACACAAGAGCTTACATTGTTAGTTGACAAAGGAGGTAGGAAGGAAAGTTTGACATTTAAAGAGTTCTTTATTTTGAGATCAGTCAGCGCTCTCGCTTAGAAAAGTAAATACAAAACACTAACGAGAGCATTCAGTGTAAATTCACGCAATAAAAAAATATTACTAACACGAACAGAGCAAAGATACTATCACAAATATAAAATAAGTATAGGAAGTAATCATAACCAAAAGACCAAGATTAAACAATACGTTTCATTCTGCCTTAGACTATTTCCTGACTAGACGGACCTATACGTCTTATGTCTTTTACAATTTGTGAACTGTTTCCAATTAAGACATTATTATATGTTTTTTCAGAAAAAGTACGAAAATAAAGAACGAAAATAACATTTTCGTATCTTCCTCTGAGTAACTGAAAACACAATACGTCATACAAAATGTATAAGAAAAACTCTTCAAAGGGAATGTATGAAGATGGCCAACATTATGCCTTCATATCATTTTTGTTAATGTATCTATTAAAAGTGCTAAATGGCTAAGGCTCGACCAGCGCCTGGGAAATGGAGCGTAAACCGTATTAGTTCATGAACGAGGATCAAGAGCCCTTCACCAGCATTAAGGCACCCCCCCCCCCTTCCCCTTGAAGAGAGCGGGTACAATTCACAGCTTGCAATATAGAGGAGGCGAGACAGTGATATAACCATTTGGCGCAATGAGTTATTGTTTACAATTCCCGTCAACATACTGCCTGGATGTTGCTCAGACTTTTTTGTGTCTGTGTGTGTGTATGTGTATGTGTCTTGCATTATTAAGATCACCTGTCTGCGTTTGTATTGCATATATATATAACTTCATGTTTTGTCTCCGTATGAAGTGATAAAAGTTCCTAATAGACGGAACGGCTGCGGTAAAGCACCATAACCCCGCTTAATGTGTCATCATCAGCCTCTTGCCTTCGTCTTAATTCAGTTAAAACAATGAATTTTCTTCTGATGTCCAAATCACCCTTAGAGCTCTGTGTGCTTATTATTATTGTTTTATTTATTATTTGTTTATTGTTATTAGCATTGTTATTTTTCTGGTTTATAGCTATTATTATTAATTATTATTATTTAGTAGTACTTAAAAGTCATTCTGGGAAGTACTGATTATAAGAAATATCTTGTGCTTGGGTCTATCATAATAATGAGACGTAAAAACTAAGACTAATTGATTCTTAATATTGAAAATAATTTAATGTTAATAATGTGTTACGGAATCTTTTTGATTCGACTCTGAAGTCATTTTGATCACGAAATGAAGCCGACTGATGCTTAATGATGGAAGTTGTTTGAAAGAAAAAGCCACAAATGTGGTAGACAGGCAATAAGAAAACTGAGATATTGGCCGTAATGGGGAAGAGGGAAGAGGAGAGAGGTGGCTGAAAATATCATTGTTGGTAAAAGAGGAGGAAAGGGGAAGTTCCGCCGTGTTGGTAATGGGGGATATATGAGATAAGGAAGGGGTAGTGGTGAGAGAAGACGTTGTTGGAGAAAAGTGGTGGTGAGGGTTGTAGTGGTGGTGGTGGTGGTGGTGGTGATAACAGGGACAGTGGTTTCGATGGCAGTGAGGTAGGAAAAGCAAGCTGTTGTATTGGAAATAAGATTGTTGGTGGTAGGAATAGAAGTAGACTGAAGGGTAGAGGCTCGGTAAGGCAACGCTAGTTAAAAATAGAAGAGATTACAGTAAGATGTCAACAACAGAGGCGGGCAGACAGAACTCATAGAAATAAATGAAAAGTATAAGAGGTAAAGAATGTTGGTTGGAAAGGATATCGGCACACTTACACATGACGTTGAGTTTGACTGCGTTGCTAGCCCTTGGCCCTCCAGGTTGTGGGCGGCACAGGTGTACTCGCCCGCTCGCCCACGCTTAACCTTCTGCAGCACCAGACTCTGATCTGAGATAGGAGACCCGCGCTCTTGTTTGTCTCAAGCAAGTCACCCTGAAAGAGAGCAAGCACCAGCACGTTAGTAAAGCCACTGTCAACAATGCTTAACCCAACAATATGACCCTACCTGAGTATCAGTGAAGCCAGTGTCTACATTAAGTGACCCTGAGTGTGTCCATGTTCGTAATGCAATTGATGTAAGTATTAATTTGCCCTATAGGGAACTGAGTGCTGGTAAAACCTGTCTGTCTTAACTGACCATAAAGGAAATGGTGTGTTCCGCTAATACTGACATTTATCACTACTGAATGCTACTTTATAACAAGTGTTTTGTCAATGAAGATTTGCCATTCCTTGTGTTTATCCATGAGAACTGCTGGTAGGGACACCTGCCTCCTTGCTGGAAGGAACACTTTCATAATTTGGCGTAAGTTGAAGCTAAATTGGTAAACCTAAAGTTACTGATTCTTAAACAATATCGTAAAGATATGAAGAAACAGGGACATGGTGTAATGTTTTCTCAGTGTCTTATCTTTCTCATTTACACAAACTCAGCGCCTGTTTTGGTTTTAACTGTGGTAGGCCATGTAAGAAACTTCAGTTTTATCGGCAAAGTAAATTCATGCGGAGTAACTTGCTGTCCAATTACACACTAATAGATCAAAATTCAGGTATGAATTTTTAAGTGTCCAAATTCATTTTGAATCACTGACAAGGATAGAGATTGTGAGATTTCAGGAAGCAATTTCTCACACTGGATACGTGTATGCACCATTTTTGTATTATGGTTTTGACTTATAAGTGCCAGTGTGAATGACTGTATATACCATTTGCTGTCAAAAGCGTTGATTGATCTTAGAGATCAAAAGCACTTCATAAATACAACCATTTCCTTCCACGTTCATTAGCTAGGGAGTTGCGAGAGCGTATAAATAGTTCTCGCATCAATGAAAACTGATGTCTAGCAAAAGAACAGCTGTAGCTCTTTTTTAAGATTCCTGGACCATTGAAACTTGCAATATCATAGCTGCAGCTCTTGCATAAAGGTTACGTGGGCCAATGAAGACTTCCAGCATCACAATTAGAGCTCCTTTATAAACCTGTAATCTCACTACCGTAGCTCTTTTAAGAATTGCTGTGCAAACTCAAATCTAACCATATCTCAGGATAGCACTATGACTCCACTATAACACTATGATTCCAGTGAAAAATCTCACTGGAATCATAGTGTCTTTCTCATTTGCTCTATCTCTGCCAGAGCTATTTCATAAAGGATCAATGCGCCACTGAAGAGCTACTGCAGCACACAGTTCTTGTATTCAAGCTCCTTGGGCCTTAATTTACAACTTGCCGGTACTAATATTTAAGAACACGGAGGAAATCATTAATACATATAGAATACCTCTGTGCATAGTTAGGGTAGGGAAGGATAGGCTCTTAGGCAAGATTGTAATGTAGACAAGAGAGTTCTTTCAGATATGATACACACCAAAAAATTATTCAGCATGACAAGTAGATGCGGTCTCCTTGCAGAAATTCAAAACTACACAGGAGAAGACTGTTCCACGCCAAGCAGCACCAAGATAAGATTTAGCACCAAGATGTGATTCAGCACCAAGAGGTACAACTCACTCAACACTAAATCAAATAGGGAATTACAAATATGTAATTAGACCCAGGGTTCATGGACCTACAAATGACCAGGAGAGTGTAAAATGTTTAGGTACAGCACACCTAGAAGACACCAAGAGGATTGTTCTCCCTATGTAGCTGCACATAGATACACATACTTTAAATGAAGTTGATTTTATCTGCAAACAGCCTGTTCATTATTAACAATAACAAAAAAAGGCACAATACCGTGACTGGAACGATACACAAATAACCCGCACATAAAAGAGAGAAGCTTACGACGAGAGAAGCCGTCCTGCTCCACTTCTGGTTAGTGTGACTTTGTAAATGGTCCAAGTCGGACCGAAATGTCGTCGTAAGCTTCTCTCTTTTATGTGCGGGTTATTTGTGTTCATTATTCATTAGGGATTTGCCGGTACTTCCGGCCAGGGTCTTCTCCAGATGGTGACCCGGCGAACAGCCTTTTAAAATAAAAACTGTTTTATTTACCCAAATTGGTAGCAAAGAAATAACTACATGTTGATAAGAATTAAAAAAAATCGATATCCTGTTTTTTAAGAGTGTACAGAAGTACCGAGTTATCCACGACGGTAACTGGTTTGGGACTTCATTAGAGAAAAGTTAGCTTACGATAAATTGAAAAATGGCAAAAAATTCCTTAAATATTAAAGATATTGGGAGTACCTTCTGAAATTCGAAATTAAAGTATTGTTTCACTGAAAGGCATTGTAGAGAATCGGCGAAGAATAAAAATAAAAAAAGACAGAAGAGGGATTAAATACGAGAGCAAAGAATTTAAATCACACTACTAATTTACAGATCTGTAAAAGGCATATATATCAAATTTATCATTCATGTAGCATCGACACGGTGAGGTTAAAATTCCTGTTAATGGAAGACTAATAGCAATATTAACTCGATAATGTATACGACCTTACTGATTGCTTCCTCATTCCATTCTCCCCATTATTGTTAATGTTAGTAGTTAGGGTCCGTCTGTGGATCAAGTTAGTTTGATGTATCGTTCCATCCCACGCTAACGACTGTTAAAATAACTCGCGCAAACATTTGTTAATAAGGTCTCCGAAATCCTGGGGCCTTGGCGGGGTGCAGGCAGGCTCGCCGAGTATTAATGTTGACCTATAGCAGGCTTTTGCAGGTAATTTGTGACCACTAACGCACCGTGAATGGGACGTCGAAAATGTGCGCGGTGGAGCTAATACTGCTCATTTGTAACGCTTGGGAAAGGTGTGTGTGTGTGTGTGTGTGTGTGTGTGTGTGTGTGCACTCACCTAGTTGTACTCACCTAGTTGTGGTTGCAGGGTCGATTCATAGCTCTTGACCCCGCCTCTTCACTGGTCGCTACTGGGTCACTCTTCCTGCTCAATGAATTTTATCATACTTCTTCTTAAAGCTATGTATGGATCCTGCCTCCATTACACCGCTTCCCAAACAAGTCCACTTCCTGACAACTCTGTGACTGAAGAAATACTTCCTAATATCCCTGTGATTCATCTGAGTCTTGAACTTCCAACTGTGACCAATTGTTTTTGTGTCCCATCTCTGGCACATCCTTTTTCTGTCCACCTTGTCGATTCCTCTCAGTATTTTATATGTCGTTATTATATCCCCCGTATCTTTTCTGTCCTACAGTGTTGGCAGGTCAGGTGTGTGTACTCACCTATTTGTACTCACCTATTTGTGGTTGCAGGGGTCGAGTCATAGCTCCTGGCCCCACCTCTTCACTGATTGCTACTAGGTCCTCTCTCTCCCTGCCCCATGAGCTTTATCATACATCGCCTTAAAACTATGTATGGTTCCCGTCTCCACTACTTCACATTCTAGGCTATTCCACGGCTTGACTACTCTATGACTGAAGAAATATTTCCTAACATCCCTTTGATTCATCTGAGTCTTCAACTTCCAATTGTGACCTCTTGTGTCTGTGTCACATCTCTGGAACATCCCGTCTTTGTCCACCTCGTCTATTCCGCGCAGTATTTTAAATGTCGTTATCATGTCTCCCCTGACCCTCCTGTCCTCCAGTGTCGTCAGGCCGATTTCCCTCAACCTTTCTTCGTAGGACAATCCCCGTAGCTCTGGGACTAGTCTTGTTGCAAACCTTTGCACCTTCTCTAATTTCCTGACGTGCTTGACTAGGTGTGGATTCCAAACTGGTGCTGCATACTCCAGAATGGGCCTGACGTAAATGGTATACAGAGTCTTGAACGAATCCTAACTGAGGTATCGGAACGCTATCCGTAGGTTTGCCAGGCGCCCGTATGCTGCAGCAGTTATCTGATTGATGTGCGCCTCAGGAGATATGCTCGGTGTTATACTCACCCCCAAATCTTTTTCCTTGAGTGAGGTTTGCAGACTTTGGCCATCTAAACTATATTGTGTCTGCTGTCTTCTTTGCCCTTCCCCAATCTTCATGACTTTGCATTTGGCAGGGTTAAACTCAAGGAGCCAGTTGCTGGACCAGGCTTGTAGCCTGTCCAGGTCTCTTTGTAGTCCTGCCTGATCCTCATCCGATTTGATTCTTCTCATTAACTTCACATCATCCGCAAACAAGGACACTTCTGAGTCTATCCCTTCCGTTATGTCATTCACATATACCAAGAACAACACAGGTCCTAGGACTGACCCCTGTGGAACCCCGCTTGTCACAGGCGCCCACTCTGACACCTCTTCACGTACCATGACTCGTTGTTGCCTCCCTGTCAGGTATTCTCTGATCCATTGCAGTGCCTTTCCTGTTATGTGTGCAGTAACCTCTTGTGAGGAACTGTGTCGAAGGCCTTCTTGCAGTCCAAAAAATTCCACCCCTCTCTCTCTTGTCTTACTTCTGTCACCTTGTCATAAAACTCTAGTAGGTTTGTGACACAGGATTTTCCCTCCCTGAAACCATGCTGGTTGTCAATTATACACTTGTTTCTTTCCAGGTGCTCCACCACTCTCCTCCTGATGATCTTCTCCATGACCTTGCATACTATACACGTTAGTGATACAGGTCTGTAGTTTAGTGCCTCATGTCTGTCTCCCTTTTTAAAAATTGGGACTACATTTGTGTGTGTGTGTGTGTGTGTGTGTGTGTGTGTGTGTGTGTGTGTGTGTGTGTGTGTGTGTGTGTGTGTGTGTGTGTGTACCCACTTAATTCATCAAATTGTGGTTGCAGGGGTCGAGCCTTAGCTCCTGGCCCCGCCTCTTCACTGGTCGCTACTAGGTCCTCTCTCTCCCTGCTCCATGAGCTTTATCATACCTCGTCTTAAAACTATGTATGGTTCCTACCTCCACTACATCACTATCCAGACTATTCCCCTTCCTGACAACTCTATGTTTAAAGAAATACTTCATAACAACCCTTTGACTCATCTGAGTTTCCAACTTCCAATTGTAATCCCTTGTTTCTGTGTCCCCTCTCTGGAACATCCTGTCTCTGTCCACCTTATTTATTCCTTAACCTTCCTTCGTAGGACACTTTCCTTAGGTCTGGAACTAGCCTTGTTGCAAACCTTTGCACTTTCTCTAATTTCTTGACTTGCTTGACCAGGGTTCCAAACTGGTGCTGCATACTCCAGTATGGGCCTGACGTACACGGTGCACAGAGTCTTGAAAGATTTCTTACTAAGGTATCGGAACGCTATTCTCAGGTTAGCCAGGCGCCCATATGCTGCAGCAGTTATCTGGTTGATGTGTGCTTCCGGAGACGTGCTCGGTGTTATACTCACCTCTAAATCTTTCTTTTTGACTGAGGTTTGCAGTCTTTGGCCGCCTAGCCTATAGTTTGTCTGCAGTTTACTCTGCCCTTCTCCGATCTTCATGACTTTGCATTTGGCTGGGTTAAATTGAAGGAGCCAGTTGCTGGACCACGCGTCCAGTCTGTCCAGGTCTCTGTAGTCCTGCCTGAGCCTAATCTGATTAAATTTTCCTCATTAACTTCACATCATCTGCAGACAGGGACACTTTTTAGTCTATCCCTTCTGTCATGTCATTCACATATACCAAAAATAGCACTGGTCCTAGGACTGTTCCCTGTGGGACCCCGCTCGTCACAGGCGCCCACTGTGATACCTCATCACGTACCATGACTCGTTGTTGCCTCCCTGTCAGGTATTCTCTGATCCACAGCAGTGCCCTTCCTGTTATACGCGCCCGATCCTCTAGCTTCTGCACTAATATCTTGTTAGGAACTGTGTCGAAGGCCTTCTTGCACTCCAAGCAAATGCCATCACTCCACCCCTCTCTCTCTTGTCTTCTGTTACCTTGTCATAAAACTCCAGAGGTGCGTGTGTGTGTGTGTGTGTGTGTGTGTGTGTGTGTGTGTGTGTGTGTGTGTGTGTGTGTGTGTGTGTTGGAGAGAGAGAATCTTGTGTCATTTTGTCTTACGTGTCGTTTCGTTAATTAAGGTGGTCGTAAGTGCAGCAGAAACTATGGTGGCGAAAAACACATTTCCACTACACTTCCACCACACACGCTTCCACTAAATATCCACCACACACGCTTCCACTATAATTCCACCATACACACACGCTTCCAATATAATTCCACCACACACACACGCTTCCAATATAATTCCATGACACACGCTTCCACTATAATTCCATGACACACGCTTCCACTATAATTCCATGACACACGCTTCCACTATAATTCCATGACACTCACGCTTCCACTGTAATTCCATGACAAACACACACGATTCCACTTTAATGTCACCACACACACGCTTCTACTATAATTCCACTACACACGCTACCATTACACTTCCACTACACACGCTGCCACTATATATGCGAGCTTGAGCGTGAGTAACATAGGAGAATTACTTAATTTGTTGAAAGGTCATCACCTTTTTAGGTTACGCAGTGCAGAAATTTTGATGAATGAAATAATCCTTTCTATTTAAAACGAAGAAAATTATGTTTGAGAGACAGTCACCTGACCCAGCCAGTGCAAACGGACTCACCACAACCAAGTGAGGGTGACCCAGTTCAGGTAAGATAGAGGGATGAAGTTTAGAGATCTTCTGTGGGTGACTGCCAAGAAATGATCATGAAAATATATGTGGGTGAGTCGGCGTGTCTGAATGATCACGATTTAAAAGGAATGAGAGAGAGAGAGAGAGAGAGAGAGAGAGAGAGAGAGAGAGAGAGAGAGAGAGAGAGAGAGAGAGAGAGAGAGAGAGAGAGAGAGACAGACAGACAGACAGACAGACAGACGTACAGACAGACAGACAGACAGACAGACAGAGACAGAGAATCAATGAATGAATGAATTTCATATAGATAATTTAAAGTATATAGACAAAAATAATGTACTCAGTTTTCACTTTTTGGTACACCTGCTTGTTAATGCAAATCTCTAATTAACCAATCAGGTGCCAACATTTCAGTGCCTGAAAGCATCCAGACATGGTCAAGAGGCTCGTTTGTGTTTCACACCAATCAGAATCGGGAATAAGTGTGATTTAAGTGACTTTCAACCAGGAATGACAAGGAAGGACAATGGCCAGACTGGTTCATGCCGGCAGAAAAGTGGCAGAAACTCAAATAACCATTCGTTACAACAGTATTATGCAGAAAAGCATCATCTCTGAACGATCAACACGACGAACCTTGGAGTGGATGAGCTACATCAACAGGACACACCAGGTTCCACTTCTGTCAGCTAAGAACAAGAAAATGAGTCTAAAGTAGGTCCAGTCTAACCAGAGATGGACAGCTAAATTAGAGAAAACGTCGCCTGGTTTGACGGATAACGATTTCTGATGCGACATGGAGATGGTAGGGCGTAAGCATTTGGGATGTGATAGAACGGGAGATTCACTGCATGAATGTGCAGCCGACAAATTTGCAGCAGCTGCGTGATGCTGTCATGTTTAACATGGACTAGAATCTTTAAGGAATGTTTCCATTACCTTGAATCCATAAAACGACGAATTCAGGCTCTTCTGGGAGCAAAGAGTGGGCTTACCCAATACAAGAAGGATGTCCCTAATAAAGTGGCCACTGAGTGTAGATCTATAGACATGTAGATATTCTGACAAAGATTTATAGACATACAATGGATGCATGCACATACAGAGATATAAAGATTTATAAACTGGTATTTAGAGGTATAACTGTATACAATTGATGTATGGATATATTGGCATATAAAGATTGCTAGATACTCACATTATGGTACCAGGTAACGCGGTGGGCGAGTGGATTAGCATGGATGGTGCAGTCAAAGTATACGTCATCACCTTCCTTGATGCTCTGTGGATCCAACGCTCGGCCCAGCGCCAGCTCCACCTCAGGCTTGTCTGCACACCAGAAACCATCTCTTAGTAAGGTGAAGGGGCATTGGGAGGATTCTGGAGAAGGGCTCTTGCTTCAAGGAATTGGAGCTCCCCTTTCTTTGATCGAATGTGGTAAACTTCCATTCCCCAAACACTGTGTGACCTGTACGTATTTAGTGCTTCCCCCATGAATATGTAAACAATAATAATGAGAGTAGAAAAGGAAATGTCTGAATGACTGTTAAATGAACTATTGTTATATTTTGCAGTAGAAAATTGTGTCCTCGACTCCTATATTATGATTACTTGTTTTCGTGGCAATGTTTCGTGGGGGAAAAAATGTAAAAAATATGGGCAACGTCAATTTTTTTTTTTATTATCGTTCTCGCTACTTTGATACTTAAGTGCAGTCGTAGTTAGTATTCAGTGAAGGAATGTAACAGTCAACTGACTTTCATATTATGAAGAAATTGGTCAATTCTAATCAGTCAAGCACATAGATACATTATTGGTAATAACTCAAATTACTTGAGTGGGAAAGAATGAATAAAATAATTATCGAAGACAAATACATATAAAAATAGATACACTCGCACTCTTAGGGGTCTAGTTCTTAGACCGTTTGCTTATCCATATGTTCCTACCCTACCGCCACAGAAAGAAAAAATGATGCACAGTACACTGTGCAAAATAACCACAATAAATATGCAAAATAACGACTGAGAAAAAAATAGTGAATTTCCAAGCGCGTTCTTGAATTATCATATTGTCAAGTTCCTTGATAATGTGAAAAATCACGAAAGCACTTAAAAATTCACTATATATATATATATATATATATATATATATATATATATATATATATATATATATATATATATATATATATATATATATATATATATATATATATATGGTGAAGCAATGTAAAAAGAGAGCAAATGAGAGAGTGGGTGAGATGTTATCAACAAATTTTGTTGAAAATAAGAAAAAGTTTGGAGTGGAGATTAACAAGTTAAGAAAGCCTAGAGAACAAATGGATTTGTCAGTTAAAAATAGGAGAGGAGAGTTATTAAATGGAGAGTTAGAGGTATTGGGAAGATGGAAGGAATATTTTGAGGAATTGTTAAATGTTGATGAAGATAGGGAAGCTGTGATTTCGTGTATAGGGCAAGGAGGAATAACATCTTGTATGGAGTGGAAGAGCCAGTTGTGAGTGTGGGGGAAGTTCGTGAGGCAGTAGGTAAAATGAAAGGGGGTAAGGCACCCGGGATTGATGGGATAAAGATAGAAATGTTAAAAGTAGGTGGGGATATAGTTTTGGAGTGGTTGGTGCATTATTTAATAAATGTATGGAAGAGGGTAAGGTACCTAGGGATTGGCAGAGAGCATGCATAGTTCCTTTGTATAAAGGCAAAGGGGATAAAAGAGAGTGCAAAAATTATAGGGGGATAAGTCTGTTGAGTGTACCTGGTAAAGTGTATGGTAGAGTTATAATTGAAAGAATTAAGAGTAAGACGGAGAATAGGATAGCAGATGAACAAGGAGGCTTTAGGAAAGGTAGGGGGTGTGTGGACCAGGTGTTTACAGTGAAACATATAAGTGAACAGTATTTAGATAAGGCTAAAGAGGTCTTTGTGGCATTTATGGATTTGGAAAAGGCGTATGACAGGGTGGATAGGGGGGCAATGTGGCAGATGTTGCAAGTGTATGGTGTAGGAGGTAGGTTACTGAAAGCAGTGAAGAGTTTTTATGAGGATAGTGAGGCTCAAGTTAGAGTATGTAGGAAAGAGGGAAATTTTTTCCCGTAAAGTAGGCCTTAGACAAGGATGTGTGATGTCACCGTGGTTGTTTAATATATTTATAGATGGGGTTGTAAGAGAAGTAAATGCGAGGGTCTTGGCAAGAGGCGTGGGAGTTAAAAGATAAAGAATCACACACAAAGTGGGAGTTGTCACAGCTGCTCTTTGCTGATGACACTGTGCTCTTGGGAGATTCTGAAGAGAAGTTGCAGAGATTGGTGGATGAATTTGGTAGGGTGTGCAAAAGAGAAAATTAAAGGTGAATACAGGAAAGAGTAAGGTTATGAGGATAACAAAAAGATTAGGTGATGAAAGATTGAATATCAGATTGGAGGGAGAGAGTATGGAGGAGGTGAACGTATTCAGATATTTGGGAGTGGACGTGTCAGCGGATGGGTCTATGAAAGATGAGGTGAATCATAGAATTGATGAGGGAAAAAAGAGTGAGTGGTGCACTTAGGAGTCTGTGGAGACAAGAACTTGTCCTTGGAGGCAAAGAGGGGAATGTATGAGAGTATAGTTTTACCAACGCTCTTATATGGGTGTGAAGCGTGGGTGATGAATGTTGCAGCGAGGAGAAGGCTGGAGGCAGTGGAGATGTCATGTCTGAGGGCAATGTGTGGTGTGTGAATATAATGCAGAGAATTCGTAGTTTGGAAGTTAGGAGGAGGTGCGGGATTACCAAAACTGTTGTCCAGAGGGCTGAGGAAGGGTTGTTGAGGTGGTTCGGACATGTAGAGAGAATGGAGCGAAACAGAATGACTTCAAGGTGTATCAGTCTGTAGTGGAAGGAAGGCGGGGTAGGGGTCGGCCTAGGAAGGGTTTGGAGGGAGGGGGTAAAAGGAGGTTTTGTGTGCGAGGGGCTTGGACTTCCAGCAGGCATGCGTGAGCGTGTTTGATAGGAGTGAATGGAGACAAATGGTTTTTAATACTTGACGTGCTGTTGGAGTGTGAGCAAAGTAACATTTATGAAGGGATTCAGGAAACCGGCAGGCCGGACTTGAGTCCTGGAGATGGGAAGTACAGTGCCTGCACTCTGAAGGAGGGGTGTTAATGTTGCAGTTTAAAAACTGTAGTGTAAAGCACCCTTCTGGCAAGACAGTGAGGAGTGAATGATGGTGAAAGTTTTTCTTTTTCGGGCCACCCTGCCTTGGGGGAATCGGCCGGTGTGATAATAAAAAAAAAAATATATATATATATATATATATATATATATATATATTATATATATATATAATATATATATATATATATATATATATATATATATATAATATATATATAATATATATTACGTATGCGTGTGTTTATGCTGAAACCAGAATTTCTGGCCACACTACAAATCTCTACTCGGCACTACCACCTGCAACCAAAATCCACCTGTCACACCCGCCGCCGCCTCCACCGCTGTCCACCACCTATCAGGAAACCTCTGAACAACCACAAGCGGCCCATCACCAGCACATACGAAAAAATTTCCACCACCCTCACTCACTTCAACCGTACATCGTTACCACCTATACAATCATCATTTTTAAACACTACTACCTATCACCACAACCAACATCACAGCCGGTACCCATTACCCTCACAGGTACCATCACTGCTGGTCACCATCATTTCCCTGCTCAACAGTACCACATGACTTCCTTCGCTACACATCACCATGATCTCTCAACCGTACACCCCTATACCACACAGTACCACCTCCTACGAAACACAAACACACCACCACACTACTCTACCAACCATCACCACCGCCATACACCAAAGCAACCTTATCTTTCTGTACACACCACCACCACACCCTCCCTACCACCCTGTAAAATTACCATTACCCTATACACCATACGCTGCTCCCACACTAACGCATCTCCCATTAGTGCCCTGCGATGGCTTACGTATTCCACTGACTCTCCGTTATTCATGCTTGTGTCTTATTCTCATTCTCAACGGGAAGGCGGATTAATGCATCAACCAGCAGGAAATTCCCCTATGTATCTCGGTTCATTAGTGTTCTCCACCACCACTACTTGATACACATTCATCAGCCTCAGCATTAAGACGACTACTACTGCTGCTAATATTAGCACCACCACCAACTATTATCGTTTTGAAACGAATGTAATTGGCTGTGGCTCGTACGTTGGTTTGCGTGCAGCCAGCAGTAACAGCCTTGTTGATCAGGCTCTGATCCACCAGGAGGCCTGGTCACAGACCGGGCCGCGGGGGCGTTGACCCCCGGAACTCTCTCCAGGTAAACTCCAGGTATTGTTCATCTTCAATTATTTCACGTTTCTTTTCTCCAAATTGTATATTCTTTCAGTTGATTAATTAGGTTAGGCTCACATAAACCTATGCAAACTTATATATAGACTAATAAGTAAATTATTAAAAAAAAAACTTGTGATAGAATCTAGACGAGGAAAAGCAGGAGCCAGAAACGGGTAATCCTGTGGAGACGACAGGCCAGTGGCCAGGCGACGCTACCCAAACAGTGAGCCAAAGACTGGTAATCATCTGGAGAAGACAGATCATTAACGAGCGACTTCCTGGAAAAGAAACAAAAACGCGAATAAAAATGTTCTTAGTACTAGAATGGCTGACGTTAATGAGTTCTTGTACGAGCATATTTGACGGTTATCTCTGTTGGGGCGAGAATATTCTGAAACATTACACCACTAATTTTCCCCTCCCTTCCTTCCCTCTTACCCTACGCCGGGATACCTTCATACAATGGTGGGGTTCGAGTGGCTTGTGCTGAAGAATAAGGGACCATTCCTCTATGTGAGTTTTCATTTTTCCCAGAGGTTCCTTGCCTGACTAAGAACTCAGCATGTCTTTCAGCACAAACTATGGTGGTATTTCACCTTTCGTCTAAATTTGCTGACACGTCCAATGATATGGAGCTATTGATGAATATTTATTGTGGAATGTAAAAAAAAATACTTTGAATAGTTTTATTTGTTGTTTATTACGATTCATGTAATATGAGAGGCAATTGGTCCTGACAGTAGCAAGTTAATATGATAGTGAAAATGCAATAAAGCGGGAAACGGAATATATTTAACGTATTGAATAACTATATAGTTACAGTGCCTTCGTGAGTAACATAAACGACATCACCACCATCACCATGACCACCTACCATCACACCATCACTACCATCACACACTCACTACCATCACACCCTCACTACCATCACACACTACCATCACACAC